AGTCTTGGGAAGTTTTTTTTTTTTTTTTTTTTTTCTTTGTGCAAGACAAGTTTAGGTGGAACTTTTGTGAAAGCACACACAAACACAAATCACAGTTGAGGCTTGTATTTAGGGCTGCTACTAATGATTATTTTCATTATCTTGATTCATTGTTTTATCTGAAAGGAGACCCAAGGTGATCTATTTCAAACCCAAAGCTCTTCAGTCTAGTTTTATATATGACAAAGAAAATCCTGTCATGTGAGAACCTGGAACTATTTCAAATTAAATTTTCTGTTCAGTGAGTTGTTGCAGCTCTAGTTGTTGTTGTTGTATGCATCTTGTAGTGTAGGATGTCTTGTGAGAGTATTGTCTATGGGTCAGGTGGGAGTGTGTTGTTACCTCCGCCATGAAGGTTAAGTTTTCACCCCTTTCTGTTTATTTGTCAGCAGGATTGCACAAAAAGTCCTGAGCCAATTTGCACCAAATGTGGTGGAGGGATGGATCATGGGCCAGAGAAGAACCCGTTAAATGTTGGTTCTGATTCAGTTAAAGGGGCAGAGCCAGAATATTTTTTTTACTTTCATTAACATTGCGAAATACGACTTTTTTTTGTTGTTGACATTTTCATCTATTTCTCAGGAAGTAATGTTCGGATCTTAATGTAAAAAAATCGATGTATTTATGGTGTTTATGTGTGACTTTGTACAATTTGGTCTATCATCTACTGAATGCCATTGTAGTTTGAATTTTTTCTACACTTGTATGAATTCCTGAGTTAAAGATTGATACCAAAATTATATGCGATACTGTTTTTGATGCCATAGTTCGAGAAATATAAACATGTTTTCCTAAAAAATCATTTCTAATTAATTAATTGTTAGTTGCAGCACTAGTATGAAGTTGGTTTTGCTTTTTCTGGGATTTTTTTCTAATAAGAAAACTGAAGAAACCAGTGTTATGTTACCTAAAAACAGCTAACGCTAATGCTATAATAACATAGGATATGAGCCCTACGTATCAGACGTGCTTCTCGGTTGGGAAGCTGTGGCGCTGTCAAATACATGGCATTCCTGCAGTGTAGAGAGTTGGACGTCACCGTTTTGCAATGTACAACTGTCAGAAAAAGATGGCAGCAGCAATAAAAGGAATTTAATTCTGATGGTTTGGAGAACTTGAAACCGGTTCTTGATGCTGAGTTTAGGTTACCAGACCCCTGGATAGTCCATCTCTGTCCGTATGCTCCGTGTCTCCTGCTGCAAAAGCACGACTCCTGCTCTGTGACCTGCCCTCAGAGTTACAAACACACACGTTCTATACAAATGGCTGTATGGTGATCAGGTTCTCCACTCATTTCAAAGTGCTACATAGCATTGTGAGCTCAGCTTGTTGAATATTCAGTTGCTTCTACTTCTTGGCCACAACCAGACTGTACAGCATTCAGAGACGGGGCAGAGGACGTTAATCTAACTGTCTGAATCGACAGCCTTAAACATCACTGCAGTTCACATAATTGTGATGTTCATTCCCAGCCTTGGCCTCTGACAAGTCACTGGTGTAGAAATAACTCGTGGGTGTGTTTAGTGGTCGGGTAATTTGTGCTCTAATGTCTGTTAAGTTACTTGGAAAAGCCACAATTAATCAGGTTGCAGAGAAACATGTGGGATTAGGACGTCTGAAGGCTCCACAGAAACTTTCACATGACACTCAGCATGTGTTGAGGGCTGTTTCTGATGATGATGACCCCCCCCCCCATGCTTTCAACCACTGGCCGTTGGCTTCACTGTTTACATTTATGCATATGTGAGGGTTGTAATCCTACTCTCATTTTCCATCAGCAGATTCCCCTCATCGCCCTCAGAATCTGTCAAGTAAGCATGGCTCACGGCTTTGAGCGCCGTCTTTTTGCTTCTCTCTGTTCAGACCTTTTTACACATCTGGTTCACGGCGGGAATGTTCTGTGTGAAAGGTACAAACACTGAATGGGGGGGGGCATTGTTGTTCTGTGGTGATGGTAGTAATTGTCACTGTAATTTCTTAATAGTTTGTCATATTACTTTAATACCAACAGATTAGCAAGAAGTTAGCTTTTTATTTTTCTTTACAGAAAATGAGACTTTTAATTTCGGTTTGAATTACGTTTTACCTCTGCACCATCAAAATAGAATTTAATTTCCTTATAATTTAACATGCCATATTGAACACACTGGGGTCTGCACTAGAATGATACATTTCTCAAATATAGACCAAAACTCTGCTGTTGAATTACTAATTTTGATAAACCCAGGACTGAGTTCAGCAGGGTAGAAGATAATATCTACGGCCTAATGTTTTGGAACATAAATATTATTTACCTATAAAACAGAAAACCCCAGAATCTAAAATGTCAAATATTGTATTGTTTAGATCCAAATTTGTCTGATCTAAGAATAAGTGAAAAGTGTGAAGTGTGTTTAACATGTAAAACTACTAAATCAAAAATGTAGAATACACCTTAATTGTGTTTACTATCACTAAGTACATGTACTTCTTCAGTTAATGAGTGAAGAATCTAAAATTAGAGAAAAAGAGTTTTGCTCATTTTCTTTCTTTTGGTCTGTCTAAACATCTTCGATCCGAGGTATGAATAGTGACATACGGTAGATACACACATACAAGGGATGTCATGAGAACTAATACTTTGGTACCAAGCTGATGCCAGAAGTCTGAAACCAAGACAGTGCTTGTTTTTCCACAGTAGCACAGGTATTGTTGATGTCATAGGTACTGGAGGTGTGATTCTTCTGGGACTAACTAGGGCAGCATGATAACCCTACAAGAAGGAAGCAGACACAGTAAACAATAACGACAACACATGAAATGGTGGCGGCACGTGTGGGTGCAAAATGTTATTGTCTGTGAATTGCATCAGCTGGCATCTGTTGTAGCAACGCTCCATACACAAGGTTCACAGAGGCTAACGTTGGGCTGAGTGCTCACAACAGTAGTAGGGTGCATTCATATCTGCTCAGTCCGTCAGTTTGGTTCAGTCTCTGAATTTGGTACGGAGAATTGTGGAATTTCAACGGTCGTGATACCGACTGAAAAGACAACTTACAGGTGTGACATAAAATATCATGAATATGTTAAAACACTGAGTGTTATTGCAGCAGAGTGTGATGCCAAAAATGTCCTTCACCTAGAGAGAAAAAAAAACAGAGGAAAAACTAGTTGGAAAAAGTTGTCTTTAGTTCAGTTTGAGACCAGGAACTACTGAGTCCAGGCAGCCTGATGTGCCAGTTCTCTCTAACAGAGCAGTGTTGACTGTTTTAGGAAGCTGGAACTGGAAATGTGTGACGTAGCCCCGCAGTGAGTCAAGGCAGCACTGCTGATATGAGTGTATAATTTGGACCAAGGCAAATGAGCTGGTTCAGATGGAAAACGGTGACTCATGGTCCAGGCCTTTGTCACAGACTTGTGACACTGTGGACTTTATGTCTGGCTGCAGTTATGAGTTTTCCCGTCGGTCGGTCTGAAACCTTCTGCTCTGAGCTGCCTTCTTTTCAGTGTCACCTGACACTCAACTATGAGTGAAGAAGCCAGCGAGCTGAGAGCAGAGACACAGCACTGACACTAAGGCTCAGAGGCCTGTGTGCTTCTCTGTGGTTGAACTTTTCCTTCATCCAGTGGCATTCCCTCAGGATGAGCAGGGCAGGCAGTGTTTGACCAGTTAAAGCTAAACATAGACATCAATTAGAACGACACTGAAGTGGGTGCGACATCTCTCAGAGCAGCATTCTGTCCTATAAAGCATCTAATTTTGCCTGCTTGCATCCGTCTAGTTTACTTCCCCATGATTCAGCTTTGATCATTTTACACATGCAGCAGTAGCAAGTAAATGAGCAAATTACACTGATTTATTATCTCTTGTGTGGAATCTGCAGTAAGTTTGAGACATTTAAGACAGCATATTGTTACACAAGTAGTGTTGGCTCCTTTTAAGGGATAGATATACATATGATGTGTGTAGGGAGTGGTTTAGAGAGAGAGAGAGAGAGAGAGAGAGAGAGCGGGTGTGTGATGGTGAGGCTGACAACCAGAGCAGAGAGGTAGAAGTTAGCATTATAGCTGCGAATGTAACAGTGCAATGTGTGTGAGCTTCAGGCTGTTTGTCAGTAACCCAAACCAAGTCAAGTTCCTGAATCTTGCCGACTTCTGGAACAGAACTCAGTCGTCGTCGTCGCGCCCCCCCCCCCTGTGCTTCCTGACTCCTGACTACGGCTCAGCCTGTCTATCTGTAAAAGTCACCACACACCACTGCCTTCATGTGACGGAGATTAGCAAGTCTGTGTGATGTGGAGCTTGTAGCCGCCAGTTTATCACTGATCAATGTTGTCTGCTCCTTCATTCTTGTTCGGGCTTTCCTGTTAGTTGATTTTTCCTTTCATTGTCTCCCTCTTCCCCTCTTTCTACTCCTCTCTTTCTCTGAAAGGCCTCTATGGAAACCGCCTTTATGTGTGGCAGGTGTTTAGGAGGGTTGTGTGTGTGTGGGTTCACAGATGACAATGACTAAAGTGCCAGACTCTGCCTGTAGAATTCCTTTCTCTCACCCATCAGTCTTGTTAGAGAAAACACAGTCAGCTACCTGAGGCTCCATAGATTCCAGGCTGTGGTCCCACTTTCCACTGAGTCTTGGTATCAGGGTGTTGAGGTGGACTCAGATTTACAGAGAGGACCGTCACAAGTCAGCTGGGAGTCACGCTCAATTCAAATGATCCTAATACCCAAAACTGCCTAAACAGAAAATATATGAAGATTGTCCATTCGTGGTGTTTACACTGTGTTATTTTCGATGACAAGCTCAAGGTTTATTCCACAGGTTGTCATGGTAATGCCACTAAGTGCTAATAGGTGCTTACCACTGAGGAAGTATGAACTGGAGGATTTACCTTTTTAACACATTGTTTTTCTTTTCTCCCCTCCCAATCTTTTCCCTCGTCTTCCTTCCTCCTCTCCCTCCGCCTCCTCTCTCCTCCGTGCAGCGTGCGTCAGTGAGCCTGCAGGCTCCACACTGGTGCTGAGGCAGGATGAAGAGGTTCAGGCGACACGGCCAGGAGTCCCAGAGAGATCGACTCAAACAGGAACTCTTCCAGTTCAACAAGGCAAGTGAACCCTGACGCAGCACACAGGTCTGAACTGAACATGCAGGCCAAAGCGCATCACAACAGGTGACAGGAAAATTAGCATTTAAGTAATTAATCAACCACGAGTAATTTAGAAAACGTATTTCTATGCACTGATGTAACCTGGCTACTGTAAGAAACTGTTCATACTACAGGAGCCTGGTTCACGTAACGAACTGTAGTGAAGGTCTGTGTGGGACCTGAAGTCCTGATCCAGACTGACAGGCACACTGACACATCTCTAAAATGTCTGTATTGAACAAATAGTGAAATGTGTTGGACTTGTAGAGGCTACTTTATCTTAGTCTCAGTCAGACTTTGGATGAAATCTTTTTTAAATATAAGGATGCATGACTTATTTTCCCTGTCTGTAGTCGTTGTCATGTGTACTGTTAAAAAGCTGAATAGAAACCTGGTTACCCAAATACATGGCAGAGAAATCCTCGTTCTCCATGAGACATTTACACAGGGAAACAGGTTTCTCTGATCCACTACCCCAATTACAGTAATTAGGTTTCTTGTTTACATGACATCAGCTTACTGGGTATATGTTAGTCATAACAATATTTTGGTATAAAGTCTCGTTTTGAAGTCATGTCATTATGTGCTAATACAAACTCAAAACTTCCTGTAAGCATTTCAAATTAAAAGTGTTTCAGTGCACTGACAACCATTATTTGTTAAGGAGGCTTTTATTGCTGTGCTGATGTGCTGCAGTAAGCGTAATGTCTCATTTTCGGTTGCTGGTGTTTCTGATTTTGGCTGATGTGGCGGCCCGCCAGGATTTCTCCCGGTGCTCCTGATGGTCAGTCCGACTGTGGAGCAGTCTGTACACTAAACAACAATAAATCACAAATGGATTGTCACTGTCAGTGCTCATGTTGCATTTTGACATTATTTCCCATTAAATATCGAAATCTATTAAACAAGTGTTTTGGCATGTTCAATCCATTGTGGTGAAAGGGGCATTTAATTCTGGCATGTTAAATTATCATCACATCCCCCATGTGTCTGCGTGAGGAAAGGTCAAGCCACATGGGGAAGGTTTAAACCTTGTCTATGTTGTACCAAATTCTCTCTTTGTATCTCTCCAGACATTGTTTCTTTGTTGAATGTCATAGTGACACAAAGACTATTAAGACTATTAAATACACTTAACAAAAATAAAAATGCAGCACTTTTGTTTTTACTCCCATTTTTCATGAGTTGAAATAAAAGATCTAAGATTGTTTTCTGCACACACACAGAGGGTTTATTTCTCTTACATCTTCTCGACCAATGTGTTCAAATCCATATTAGTGAACACTTCTACTTTGCCAAGATGCTGATTACACAGTGTGTGCTGCACAGGTGTGTGCTGGGCTGGTCACAATAAGAGGCCACTTTAAAATGTGCAGTTTTATCACACAAAACAATTTCACAGATGTTGCACACTTTGAGGTAGCTGAATGTCCACCACAACTGTTGCCCATGAAATGAATGATCAGTACATCTGTGCTCACTCACGCGCATTTAAACACATTGAGGAAAGTGAAGAACAATTAAGAGAAATAAACCGTGTGTGTGTGTGTGTGTGTGTGTGTGTGTGCAGCTTGAGTTTAGAATGTATTTTTGCACAAAACTAGGTCTGGATTTTATCTCACGAGGACACCTGACTATTGAGGAGTTGAAAAAATGTGAATCTATCCTCTTAATAATAATTCAGATGATATAAAAAACTTGTTTAATGTGAGCTGTGTGTAATGGTTATGGTGTAATGACAAGCTGCTCTTGCCTTGTTGGAGGACCACGCCAATGCACACATGCTTCAAACAGGAAACTGCCCTTGTTTACTCTTCACCAAGCGGTCAACAGCCTGGTGGAGCAGACAGGTACTGATATACAAACTGGTGATTAAGTAGATGTGGGAGTGGAAATCAGGCTTGTGCACGTGCGCAGAGTTTCACAGCAATTCAAGTTTGTAAAACAGAACCTCTACATATTTCTGTCTTTGTGCAGACAGATGATTTAATGAATCTGGCCCCTGGAGAATATTAAACATTCAGCAGTGAGGAGTGAAAGGAACCGGCTTGAGTAAAAACGTCAGTAGGTCAATAAAAAGTGCCAATGTAGCATCACAGGAATAAAGGTATTCATTTAACGGACAGAGTAGGTCAGCAACAGGATTCATATTTCTGTCCACCTTGTCATTGTTATCTGCAGCATGTTTGGTTCCATTGTCTCTGCTGTTACAGCTTGCTCTCAACTCCCCCCCCCCCCCCCCCCCCCCCCCCCCCCCTGTCTGTCCACTCTCTCTCTCTCTCCCTCTTCAGACAGTGGAGCATGGTTTCCCCCACCAGCCCAGCGCTCTGGGCTACAGTCCCTCCCTGCAGCTGCTGGCCATCGGCAACCGCTCCGGGGCCATCAAACTGTATCCTTCACTGTACCTGTGAGTAAATAACTGTCAGGGTGGAATCTGAGCGTCGTGTTTGAACTTGAGGAAGGCAGCGCTAATGAACGGCTGTGACGCAGCCAAATCCTCATCTGCAGTTCACGTTGGCACCTGGTTAAGGTATTTCATTTTCCCACGCGTTGCTCAACGCCACCCGGCATTCTCAGACAGTGGAGTCTGTGTTGCCGTAGCCCTTTTTTTTTTTTAAACAATTATACTCATTGACAGTGCAGTGGAGCCAGTCGGTGCACTCTCCCCATTGACACAGAGAGACACACTGGTTTGGATAACCACGGTAGCTTCTCTCATTAGGATAATCCTTTCATCCAATGCAATTGACTGTTCCCTGGATAAATAGAAATCTGTGAATGAATATGAGTCAACAGAGCAGCTTCTGTTCGTTGTGTGTAGCACACACATCATTTGATAATGTGACGCTTTAATCGATCTCCACAGGGACATTGTTGTTTCCCCACAATGAGGTCAGGATCAGATGCTGCAGCAGCTGGAGCAGCTTCAGTGGTTTGCTCATCGACACTTGAGCATCATGGGAAATCGACTTTCATATCTCATGTTGACAGACAGACTTTATTTTTAATCAGACTTTACTGCTGAAAACATTTAGACTTCCCTGCCTACTGACCAGTCAGCACGCTGGAAAAATTGTCATCATCCCAACAGGAAGTAAATAAGAGCACTGAGGTTACAATAAATGACAAATAATAAAGAACAACAGACTTTTTGACTTAACATGATGAAGATCACGTTAAAAATATAAATGTTTTTATAAAACCATTTGTTAAAACAAGGATCTTAACTGTTACCACACTAACAGTAGGAAAATATCTAATTGCTCACCCTAAAATTACTATTTAAATTGAAATTTCTATTAGTTAAACTCATTAGTGGTCTATGTAGTTCTAAATAAGATTTGGTTGTATAAAGTAAAATAATAAACTTATATTGTTTGCACATGAATAGAATAAGAAGTTGGCTTGAATATAAAGCTGACCTGTTAAGTTCAAATTAAAAGAGCTATTTGTAAGTTTTGTTACTGCTACATAGCTAACGTTCAGACATTGAGTTCAGAATCAAGTTTCATTCCTTTACTCCCCCACAGCTGTCTCCAGAGGTTGAAACAAACGACAATGTTAATTCTTCTCTTTATCAAGTCTTTTCTTCTACTGAAGTTAGCATGCTAACCAGCTAGCCCTGTCTTGTCACTTTCTGTTAGCGACTTACTATAGCCTTCAATCTGCCCTGAAGACATAGACGTAGACGTAGTATAACCTCTTTTCATGTAAACGCGACAATGGCTGAAGCTCTTGTAAAGCGTGAATCACCAACACCTGCTCCCAGAAAAAACGAGAATATTTACAAATGGTCCCTTCAATGAAGCTTTTACATTAGTGGTACAGACACCAGAATTCAGAGATTGTGTTGTTAAGCCTGTTTTATTCTTTGCTTTTTGGCCGACTCATAAAAATCTGTCAGTTGAAACAGTTGAAATCATTCACCTGCTCAAACTTTCACTTAATGCTGTACTGGCTGTCACTACTACCAGGACTATATATAACACAACTCTTGTAATTTTGATTTTTAAATAAAAACAATTAATCATCAGCCTGCTAATAACCAATCAGCTCGCTGGAAAAAAGAGTAAAATTACCTGTTTCCATAATAATTCTTTCAGAGATAGAAGAAACATTTTTGCACCATATGTTCACTCTGGGATTAAAACAATGGTTCAGATGAACAGACAGTAACTAACAGTTTATTGTAAGGAAAAGCATATATTGTGCTAAGTTAGGTTTGTGCAGGAATTCAACCCTTTCTTTTGTTTATATTTTCCTAGGCTCCTGTCTACCAGGTGTACATTAGATAACACTTTAACAGTTTAACAATGAATGAGCTGAAAGTAAACTATGTCATGAGACAAACAAACCTGAGCCAGCTGATAACATAGTTAGTGTAAGAGAGACGTGCTAAACTGGCTTTGTGATCCAGACCCCTGGTGTCTTTATCACTTGTTCCGTGTGTGACTGAGTCTAATCACAAATCCAGTCTGTCCTTGACCAGTGGTCAGGTACGGAGCTCCAGGTGTGGAGTTCATGGGTCTACACGATGAGAACGCTGCCGTCACACAGGTGCACTTCCTCCCCCACCAGGTACAGTGAAAGCATCAACACACAGCACACTGCCTGAAGAAGCCTGACCTGTTTATCATAGAGCAATAAGAAAATGTGTTCCCTGCCAACCACGTCTTGTGGCTCATGTTTAGGTTGAACTGGTGACTTTGCTGGATGACAACAGTCTGCACATGTGGACTTTAAGAGCCCACAAGGGACTGTCAGAGCTTCTGGAGATAGGACGCTTCATGCTCACGGGACCACCTGGGTAAAATCCACACACTCAGACATTTCCCTCTTTCTTGACCCTTTTCTACTGCAGGTACTTTTATTTAAGAGCTTGGGAATTGCCCTACATTTCAGCCAAAGGATACTAGTTTTTGTTTCTGGGCTGTAGTTTCTGCCCCCCCAAAACTCCCTGATCTTCAGGAGGTACTTTCCACAACAGCAACGACGAGGTGCTTCGTACAACAGCAAATACTGGCTGTTGCTTATGTTGGTAGAGTTTTAGTTCTTGGTGCTCCTTAGTTTTTAGAATTATTTAGTCAAAACGGCAAATCCATCACTGTACTCACCTCCCTCCTCGTCTCCTGCTCAGTGCTCCCCCAAGTGTGACCAGAGTGACGGCAGTGCTGGCCCACTCCTCAGGGGAGCTGCTGCTGTTGGGGACAGAGGGAGGACATGTCTTCATCGTTGAAGTCCCCGGGTTCAGAGAGCTGGAGGAGAGGAACATTAGTCTGGACCAAGTCGCCAGCAGGTTAGAAAACACAGCACATCAACACACTGCACATCATTTGTAGTTTTGATTTTACTTCATCAAAACTCATTTTGAAAATGAGGCTGAGTTACAGACGCACAGTGGCATAACTGCTGCTAAATCATCACTGTGCGTTTTTATATTTGTGATGAAGATCATTTTGTGCAGATTTGCTCACATTTCACAAAGATTATAGTTAAAAATGTGAGTGTGTGACTGAGGTTGTCGGTCCATCCTTGTGTTGGTGCTAAGGATACACCAGGAGCCAATAAGAGACAAGAAGTGTAGAAATCAAACCCTACACTTACATGTTGCCACAGTACAGCAGCTGCTGGTGTCAGAGTGGTGTGCAGAGCAGAACACAGCATCAAGCTGCAGTCTGTCTCTTTGTGCTGAACCACATATTTTTCCAGTCTAGTATGTGAGCATTTAATTACAGTGTTTCTGGTATCACAGCCGTGAGCAGTTAATGACAATAGGCTGCAAATCAACTGCATTTAGAGCAGAGCATTTATTATTACCGTGTGTGTGTGTGTGTGTGTGTGTGTGTGTGTGTGTGTGTGTGTGTGTGTGTGTGTGTGTGTGTGTGTGTGAGATCCCGCTGGTTCACCAGATTGCATTTGTGTGAAATAGGTTATTCATCACAGTAATTGAACAGAACATGTTGATGTGTATTATGTGTAACAGGTCCTTTTATAAAACACAAACTTGAATTTGCAGGATGTGGAGGAGCCTCCAGATCATCTGCCTTTCTTTAAATCATTGTACACAGACAACACAGATTTCTTTACTACTCACTGTTGTGATGCTCTCAGTGCTGCAAATCTACTGAACTACCCCTGAACCAGATAATGGCATCACTTCCTCTGCTGCCATCCAGTGTGATCATTATTCCTCCGCGCTGGCGGCGGTTCGGAGCCGGAGGCATATTGTTTTCAGGTTGTCGGTCCATCTCATTCTCATGCACATGGTATCTCAGTGTCACTTTGACAGAACTTCTTCAAATTTTGCACAAACGTTCACCTGGACTCAAGGAAGAACTAGTTTAGATTTTGGTGGTCAAAGGTCACGGTGACCTCACAAATCACTCAAGACTTCACACAATAATTATGACAAAATTCCACATGAATGGTTCATATTTTATATGACTGGATAAACGGGGATGTAACCTGAAACTAGTCCGAGTGGAGGAGGAGGAAGTCTAACTTGTATTACTGAGCTGTGGCCAGGATGGTCAGGATGGGATGTTTAGGCTTTTTACAGTTTGTTCAGTTAAATTCTGTCTTTAAATAGTTTCTACATCAAGACAGAGATTTACAACCAGGAGCACAAAAACAACACAAGCTTACACTGATACTCTAATGATGCTTTTTGGTATCAGAGTCTCTGATGTTATCTTCCCTGTATTTCACATGGATTTGCCATAAACAATGTAAATGTGTACTGATGGTTCAGACTAAACACACAGAAAACAACACATCAGTCTGTCATCAACACACAGTGGCTCTGCCTCCCATCCCTCTGCAGATCAATAATGAGGTTGATGTTTTGCCTCCAGACTCATTCCTCCCTTCCCCCTGTGTTTACCCTCCCTCTCCGCCAGTGTACCAGATGACTACATTGGCCGCAGAAACCTAGAACACGTAGAAGCCTTACAGGAGAACCCAGTCAACCCAAACCAGGTTGTTATCGGCTATGGACGAGGTCTCATGGTCATCTGGGATCTGGAGAAACAGTGTGCCATCCAGCACATCCCTGCCACACAGGTAACAGGCCTGTCACCTGAGTGGAATCATGTGTAAAACTCTTGCCTATAACCAGGGTGCTTAATGTTGACAGTTGCATTGTGTATTTTCCTAATGTAACCATAGCAACTGGAGAGCGTGTGGTGGACAGAGGACGGGAGCTACATTCTCAGTTCTCACAGTGACGGGAGTTACTGTCGATGGATGGTGGGAGCGGAGGATGTGAACGAGGAGGAGGAGAAGTCAGACATTCCCTACGGTGAGGAGAAAAGGCTTCTTTACTGTCAGACATGAAATGTGTTTTTATGGCGGCTGACGGCGGCTCGTCTCATTGCAGGACATTTCCCCTGCAAGGCCATTTCTAAAATAGTTCAGCTGCCAACAGAAGAAGGGTGAGTTCACTTTACTCAGATTAATAAGTGACATTTTTTTTTTTACATTTCTTCCCCTTCCATTGTTACACATTAATCTCAGAGCAAACTGGACTGAACTTGAACCTCTGTGTCTTTGCGTGTGTGTGTGTGTCTGTCTGTCTGTCTGTGTGTGTGTGTGTGTGTGTGTGTAGACCTCCATTCCTGCTGTTCAGTGGCGGCATGCCAAGGGCCAGTTATGGCGACAGACACTGTATCACAGTGATCCACAGTAAAACACAGGTGGCTCTGGACTTCACCTCCAGGATCATCGACTTCTTCGCCATCAGAGACGGACCGCAGCACACAGGCAGGCGACACACACCAATACAACAGCTGATATGCGGCAAACACATTCATTGCGCAGTTATAGAACTGCTTGTATAATCTATAGTTAATCTCCACCCAAAACCAAACTGCTTTGATTCTGAATTTTAGTAGCTGAACATGGGAAATGTATTTCCAAACAAAGAACGTTTTCTTCTATTTTTTTGTTTTTAGAAAATAAGTGGAATTACGTGCATTTCAGTAACCTGTGCTTTCTGGAATAATCTGATCTTTTTTCAACAGTTTATACAATTAAACTTGTACAAACTTGTACAAAACTGTTTGTGTAAACAAGGTATGAGATCAGAGAAGCCTGGTTCCTCCAATTTTATACCCCATTAATACTTGGCAATAACATGCGATTCGTATCTGGATGTTATCTGTGAAGTAAAATCTCATGCAGGTGTAAATGCAAATGGAACGCATTGCAAGTGGAATGTGAAAGCATTGTGGTCCAGATGGTGTCTGGCTTGCATTGACCACATATGGAGGTGTAAGAGCTATCTGTGTAGCATGACCACGACCACATTCTCGAGAAACATACCATGTAGTCACACACAGCAGTGTTTCCTGTTTTTAATATATATTCAAAAATTAGATTTCTGACCTGCTCTTGGTACAGACTGAAATGTGTCCATGTATCAGAACCTGTCTGGTACTGAAAGCTGGCGTTGAAGATTTACACTCCTCTTCACTGATTCTTCGAGCGGTCAGATCATATAGCTGATTTTCAACTGTATTTTATTTATTCAAAGTTCATGTGTTGTTACTTGTATTTTTGCAGCATTTACCATTTAAGGCCGGATTCTTTTGTTATATAAAGTGTTTTTACTAAAGGGCCGCTCCACCTGTTTGAACCTTTATGGAGTTCTAACACTAAATCTCTGGAGCACTCCTTCAACAACTGTTTTATTTTCAGTCAGGTGTCATTGCAGCACTACTATCAAAAGACTAGCCCCCATGACTTGTATGTGAACACAATGTGCGCATGATTTCCTGGTGTAACCTGATTTCTACCAGCGACCCGGCTTATTGTGTGCATGTAAACCTACTGACTGAACTGCCGCTATTGTCCTGCGGAGTGTGTAAACAGCCTGAAGTCATGCGTCATGATCTGTGCATGGACCATGCAGCTGTGTTTGCAATGCGAAATGTCATAACAGACATTTAGTTTGTGCTCACCTTTGGTGTTGCTTTTGTGTGTAACTACTGTTTCCACTCTGCTCTGTTCATGTGCAGGAGACCCCAGTGCGCTGGTGGTCCTGGTGGAGGAGGAGCTGGTAGTGATTGACCTGCAGACAGAGGGGTGGCCGGTCATTCAGACACCGTACCTGGTTCCCCTCCACAGCTCGGCCATCACCTGCTCCCACCACATCTCCGCCATCCCCCTCAAACTGTGGGAGAGGGTCATCGCTGCCGGAGACCTGCAGAACACACACTACTCAAAAAAGGTTGGGGCAGAAGTCAAAGTGTTCTGTTGCAAAATAATAGAGGAGTTTGCTGTAAAGCTCCAATTTAAAAAAAGAATTTGTAAGTAGCTTCTCTGTTTAATGTTGTTCATCATTTGTGATTTGGAGTTGCTATTATTATTACAAGGTGTTTCAAAATAAACATTTGAAACTAACTTTATTGAAAGTAAGTTATTTCAAACGTTGAGTAAAACTGAAACTGAAATTGTTTTACATTTTATTGAATGTCTGACAGAAGACTTGTTTTTGTTTGCACGTTGGCTTCACTAGGATGTGGTTGATGCTGCAAATGTAGTTTATAATGTATTTGATAATTTGGTGAGCAAGTCCAGAATCTGACTTGCCTCAAATAATAGTAAATCTTCTTCAGCCATAAGTTAATGATGATAGAAGCGTCTCACACTTCCATGTCAGTAAATGTAAAATTGACCTCAGTAGAAATGGATTTTGTTCTCCATCAGCCTGTTTAACACCGTGTCACAGTGACAGTACAACCAAAGGTATAAAGAAATCCACATTATGATTGGCTAACAAACAGCCGGTGCTTTTGTACCTTTTTAAAGCTACAATAATGTCAAACAGGGAACACATTCCAAATGAAGCTGAAATTGTAAAGTACATTGGGCCGACAGCTACAATATAATGGTAACACTGCTGAGAAACATCTGCATGGAAAAAAAAAACAAACTATGTGACTGTAAAGAATCTCCTGCAGAGCTGTTAATCATATATGGTATGCAGCATTCTGACTGTGGACACACTGCTTCATTTCTGGCTGGACAGTTGGCATTAAGTCGTATTATTGTTAAACTTTCATTTCCCCTCTCTCCACGCAGCCATGGCCAATCACAGGAGGCCAGAACCTGGCCGCAGACCCTCCACAGAGAGACCTGCTGCTCACAGGGTCAGTGCAGCTGAACCTTAAAAATATCTAACAGAACATTTCTGTGACAGACTGTTAATCATTTTAACAATATTGTGTGTGTGTGTGTGTTTGTAGGCACGAGGATGGGACAGTGTGTTTCTGGGATGCCTCAGGAGTCTGTCTGTATCCCATGTACAAGCTGAGCACAGCTGGAGTGTTCCACACTGACGCCGACCCCAACGACAACATGAACCAAGGAACCGAAGGAGAGTGGCCGCCGTTCAGAAAGGTGTGTGTGTTTGTGATACAGACGATCCAAAATGAATGAAAACACCCAAACTCTACAAAACTGCAGTGGAGAAGCCTGTGAAAACAGTCTTCTGTGTTTCTGGAGGAGCTTTGTCAAGTGTGAGAAAATATCCTCTTATCAGTTATAGAAGATCAGAACAGCCGCAATCAAGTTGCACCATGGGAAAGTTAGGATTCAATGTTTTTGGAGCTTGACTTCTTCCCAGGACTAAAAGTCAAGATTTACCAGCTTCTATTGATCTGTCTTTTTTTTTTTTTTTTTCCAATCTGTCTTTGCAAACTCCTCAACTTCATGGTTGTGAAATGCTGGTTTTCTGCTAAATTAAATTTTTCATCATGTGTCGTCCAGGTCGGCTGTTTTGACCCGTACAGCGACGACCCGAGGCTCGGCATTCAGAAGATCCACCTTTGTAAATACAGTGGTTACCTGACTGTGGCTGGCACAGCTGGACAGGTGAGATGATGGTTAATCGTTTGTCGACATTGGATAACAATAATAAGTAAATAAGTCATTTAAAAAAAACTAAATGACATATATGCACACACACACACACACACACACTACTGGTCAAAACTTTTAGAACACCTGCATTTTCTGTTACTGAAAACACTGTAATGCCTCAGTGTTTGAAATTTAAGCACAGAACAAATTAATAACAAAGATTTTTTTAAGTGTGTTGCACTTACACTGAAATGTCAATCATAACGGAAAAAATGGTGGTGATGTTTTAGGACAAATACATGTGTAATTGTAGGTAATTTCAAGGTGTTCACTCACTCAGTCTTGTGACTTTATAAGCTTGTTTCAGTTAAAGGCCAAGTTCTCTCTGAAGTTGAGGTAAATGGCCACAATTTGGGAATAAGCAAGTAAATTTACACAAATTGATCGTTTCTTTTTAACTTCAGTAGAGTCAGAGAAATATAATAAAGGTTTATATGCCTGACCTTTAAATGAAGTAGAGGGAACTTATATTTCTCTGTTTTTTCCGCCACCCTCTGATATGTGCATGTCCATTGAGGGGTAGTAGAGTATGAAAAATCAGCCTGGTGCAGATTCTGGAGATTTTATTGTCCATAAAAACCCAAACTATGAAGATCTCCAACACAGTAAAACAAACAAAGGCAGAGCTGAGAGGTTGTAGAGATCAGGCGTGGCCAGGACTTTGAATATTGGGCAATAACAATGTCACAGTTCTGTGACTGTATATGTTAAGTCCCACCACACACGCCTGGTTTAATACCAGAGCACTTACTTGTACTGTGTCCTGTGTTCACCTCTGCAGATCCTGGTGCTGGAGCTGAACGACGAGGCAGCAGAGCAGACTGTGGAGGCTAAAGTCGTGGACCTGCTGCAGGGCCAGGAGGGATTCCGCTGGAAGGTAATCAGTGTTGGACTGCCAACACAAATACATTACTCCTCACTGAGCCATTTAACACTCATTCATCACTCCCTGAGAGCTGTGATTTCTCACAGTACTCTTACAATACTTTCCTGATGCACCCCTTGTGTAACGACACAACACAACAACTTTAACAATGACATTTGTTACACTTGCTGTTTTCTTGTTGAAAATAGGGCCACACTCGGCTGGATGTGCGAGAGGAGCCGGTCCTGTTTCCTCCAGGCTTCCAGCCCTTCGCTGTGGTCCAGTGCCAGCCTCCTGCTGTGGTCACCGCCCTCACCCTGCACTCAGAGTGGAAGCTGGTAGCTTTCGGCACCAGCCACGGTTTCGGCCTCTATGACTACCAACAGAAGAACAACGTCCTCATCAAGTAAGGAGACGCAGAGACAGATGACAGATGACAGAGATTTATTGTGTTTGAACTCTGCAGGAATTCTCTGCTCTCTCTCTATACAGACTGGTTTTGAGTGTGTTGATTCATTACTTATCTCCACCCAGCAGACCCAATAGAGCCTGCGTGTTGCAAGTTTGACCAGAAGATGTTTTCTGTTTGTCCCTTGTGAATCTGTTCAGCTTCCCCAGCCTGTGGGGAACATGTTTGACTCACCATTAGCTGCAGAACCAGACTCTGAATCAACACAGTGTCCTCTTGTGATGCCGGTGTTGACAGTAGCTCTAGTTCTGGTTTTATTTAAAGGGTAGGAAGGTGGTTGGCAAAATGCTTCAGCTAAAGAAAGGCACTTGATGCGGTGCAAACCTCATCCAAGGTCCAACAATCCTTACGTTTGTCCAGCTCAAGATCCAAACATCGCTTCCTGAGAAATTGACAGAATGTTGGGAAAAAAAAATGTCATGCATGTTGAGAAAAGTGATTCAAAAATTCTGGATCCGCACCAAAATTTACTTTAATTATTCCCTGACCCACACCCCATCCCTCCATCACGTCTGGGGCAAATCAGTTCAGGATTTTTTTTGTGTAATCCTGCTGACAAACAAACAAACAAACAAACAACTGGTGAACACACTGCTGTTGACCTCCTTGACGGTGGTAGCTGTCCATCATCATCTCCTGTGATCTCTCTGATGTCTCTACAAGTCAGAACAAGTCATCCCCAGTAAAACTAACCAGAAACAACTGAACACAGGAAGTGAAACAAAAACACAGATTTTTGAGTTCTGTCTTCTCGCAGAGAACTGTATTTTCCTTCAACACCACATAATTGCAGTTTTTAGGCGTTCAGCTCAAGAAGCACAGAAGCATAAATGTCAATGTGCCAGTTTAAAATAGACTATAGAAGTGGCTTTCAGCTTTTTGGCTCATGACCCCTTTTAAACAAAGACATGCCCACTCACAAAACACTGTTTACCTGAGCCCCACAGCCCCAAAACCATTTTATACTTGTGCATTCATAAAGCCCCTTTTACACTGGTCAACAAACCCGCTAACCTGCTCAGGCTTTTGTCGGCAATGTGAAAGGGAATAATTTGCATTCACACACCGGGTCAAATGACTCCGCAGTAGACGCAGGTGTTTATTGGCTCTGGCTCCGATCGGCAGTGATGTAAACACAACACCCGGGTGAACAGTGCTGTTAAACCACCTGCAGCTACACTGTGCTCAGGGATGAAAGAGTGAGCTGCTGCTTCAAAATAAGTTTTAAAAAAAACAATCACTGATTGAAGCGTCTCACCCAGCAGCTCCGACACTTTTACAGGAGCACCGGCCTGGGGATGAGCTACGGATCAGTTTTACCAGTCTGCACGGCGGCTCACTCTCTCCCCCCTGTATCTGTGTGTGTGTGCGCTTACACTGTGTGTGTAAAAGCAGTCGATCACCTTTTTTAGCAGGTTTACCCACATTTAAATATCCTGCTTCTACCTGCTAGTTTTGGTGTCAAAAGGGTAAAACAGTTAAATGAGTATTTCCTGTCTTCCCCTCTGCTCTGTAGGTGCACCCTAAACCCCAGTGACCAGCTTGCCATGGAGGGTCCTCTGTCCAGGGTGAAGAGCATAAAGAAATCCCTCCGACAGTCCTTCAGGAGAATCAGACGCAGCAGAGTCTCGCTGAGGAAACATCACGTCAACAACGCCGCGAAGGTACTCCCATATCCAGCACTAACCCTGTCTCATCATCATGTAGAACAGAGAGAAACCTTCATCACTCTGTTCCCTCTCGAGCAGCTTCAGGATGCGAACGCTCGTCTGGAGGCTGAGCTGGCAGAAATGGAGCTGGCTCCCGTCCAGAGGAAGATCGAGGCTCGCTCCTCAGACGACTCCTTCACCGGTCTCGTGCGGACGCTCTACTTTGCCGACACCTTCCTCTCAGACAGTGAGTTCACCTTCAAACTCTGAATGAAGCCCATAACAAAACTTTCCTTACTTTACAGATTTTTCACACGCGTCTCCTCGTTTTCTCGCAGGTTCACATAACTCACCCTCCCTATGGGCAGGAACAAACGGTGGCTGTGTGTTTGCGTACATGCTCCGCCTTCCTCCTGTGGAGCACAGAGCAGACGAACCTGTCACAGCACAGCCGGGTAAGAAACCGTTTGGGAAGTTTGTGTGTTTCATTGTGGACTGTTCCTCTCATCTCTGTCCTGTTGTAACGTTCCCTCCTCTCCTCTCCGTCTCTGCCCAACTGGATCCAGCTAAGGAGATCCAGCTGATGCACCGGGCTCCTGTTGTTGGTATAGTGGTGCTGGACGGTCACGGCGCTCCTCTCCCCGAGCCCCTGGAGGTGGCTCACGACCTGGCTCGCTCCCCTGACATGCAGGGATCACACCACCTCCTAGTCATATCTGAGGAGCAGTTTAAGGTCAGACTCTCACTCTCACTCTCACTCTCACTCTCACTCTCACTCTCTCTCTCTCTCTCACTCTCACTCTCTCAGTCTCTCTCACTCACTCACACAAAAACACACACTCTCTAACCGACTTACCTCCAATATAATGAAATATATTTTGGTAGAAATGTATTTTTAATATCATGATAGATACTTTGGTGATTATCTTTTGGGATCATTTACCAGAACAAATTCTAATGCAGCGTTTCAACTTAAGGAGGCAGGTAGGTTCAGGTTGTCTACAGTAGAATCAAAAGAAACTCCAATATACATTATATTTATTCAAATGTGTGAGGATCTTGATGATATAATTGAGGACTTAGGAAAACATTTTATTATGAGAATTTTAATTTGTGATCCAAGAGAGGATTTATAAAAAATTACACTTCATTTAGAGCAGATTTCTGTCACATTGTAAAGGAGTTTTCTCACACACACACACACACACTGATCAGCTGACTCTGTTGTTGTGTGCTCAGGTTTTCACCCTGCCTAAGGTCAGCGCTAAGATGAAGCTGAAGCTGACGGCCGTGGACGGCTCCAGAGTACGGAGGGTGGGCGTCGCCTGGTTCGGCAGCAGTCGGTCGGAGGACTACGGCGAAAGTGGCCTCGTGGTTCTGACCAATCAGGGCGACGTCCACGTGGTGTCGCTGCCTGCGGTCAAGATGCAGGTTCAGTACCCCTGCATCCGCCGAGAGGACGTGAGCGGCATCGCCTCCTGTGTCTTCACCAAGCACGGCCAGGGTAAAGACACGCCAACTCGCACATCTGTACCTCTTTACTCGGTGTTAAATTCATTTCCTAGCCTTCAGTCGTTACCGCAGCAACTACATGCTGAACTCTAGCATCTACATCTAACCTAAACTTAATCCTCAAACAGCTCTTTGAAGAAGTGAGGACCAAACATTATATATTGACAAAAAAAAAGTCAGATTTCTCCTCAAATATTTATGTACGAGAGACACACACAGGCCCTCACCCTCACCCTCTGGTTTCACTGTGGCAAACTGGCACTAACGCCATATGAAACCTCGACTGTGTTTTCTCATCATGCACAGAAACATCTGTGAGAAACAGCTGGAGGACAAGTCTGTTCCTGTGTTGTCTGGAGGCCGTACACAGGCACCATAATATTGTGCTGATACTACATGATAAAGATATTAAGCTCATGTATGTTACTATGTGAGTTCAATTTAAACAGTATTGATAACAAAGGTATAAAATATACCAGCAAATCAAATATATTGATGCTGGAAGTTACTTGCAGGAATGTTGTACAGATGATGATGATGATGATGATGATGATGATGATGATGATGATGATGATGATTAGTAATTTTTTTATTTTAATTTTTTTTATAATATGGCACTTGTTGTTTCCCAACAGCTTACTATTTAATTTTGAACAGAGTCCAGCTGAATGATATGAATGTTGTCTCTCATATAGCACCTTTCAACGGGTTGAATGAGTCTCCTAATGAGATACTGAGACAGCAGAAACATTTTCTTATTCTCAGCTAATGAACTGAGAGTTTGTCCTGTGCGTGCGTGCGTGCGTGCGTGCGTGCGTGCGTGCGTGCGTGCGTGTGTGTTGACCTCTGTTAAACTGATTAGAGTATTGATGTCAGCAGCTGAGATGGAAAGTAGTGGGGACAAATCACATAGTGTTGTTTGCACACACCACACACACTGCTGTGAAACGAGAGGCCTTAAATGATCTTTGCCCAGTACAGGCTAGTTGCTGTAATCCTGTCTAAACAAGAAGAATACAGAGTGTTTTTAAATGAGTTGTTCTTCCTAAAAGGAAAAGTTTGTCATGTTTTTACCAAATGATCTTTGGCTTTTGATTGCACCTGTCAGAAACCTCCTGTCGTCTTCCTTCAGGCTTCTACTTGATCTCTCCCTCTGAGTTTGAACGGTTCTCCTTGTCCACCCGCTTCGTGGTGGAGCCTCGCTGTCTGGTCGAGGTTCCTCGTCATCCAGGCACCTCCAACCAACGCAGGCCACTGCGAGATGGAGCTTCATCTGCTCATGGGTACACACAAACACACACACACACACACACTGAGTTTTATTTATCTTACTGTGGAAAGTTTTATTTTCTCACAGCACTCATGAGTCTCTCTCTTCTCTGTCCTCGTAGAAATTCCAGACAGGACAGCGAGGACGCAGGTAAGGTGTCTTTCAGAAGCTCGGCATCATACTCAAACATGCATGTGCCATTGGCTGAGGGAACACTACACGTCCAGATGTAGTGTTCTGTTTGATGTTGGTCAAATCTGTGCTTGTGCTAATGTGCTGTCTGTCTGTTTTTACACACATCTTGTTTGTGGCTGACTGTACTGACGTGACCTTTGCCTGCTGCCCGTGTGTTCCAGAAAGCGCAGCTAGACGTGTTATGGAGCATGCTTTGCTGAATGATGAGAGTGAGTACTCGGAGACAGAGACAGAGGAGAGAATGTATTAAACATATGAAGTAAACATATGTTACTGTATTTGATGCCTTCAGTGTGGTTGTATTTGCACCATGTGCTGCCTCTCCTAACTGTTTCGTCAGCTTCCTGCTCCCGTTGTCATCAGACAAAACCCACATCAGCAAGTTGGCAACTACAGCAATGATTACCAAACATCATCCCATCTCCTCATGCATGATTTGTTACAACGTCCTTTTGAACGCAGCCAGCTGTGTCCTGATGTGACTCAACAGTGGCTGCAGGTCTCATGAAGTGTTAGACCACTGGTTAGTTACAGCGATGTTGTGTTTTCTTACAGAAGTGCTGCAGGAGATCCAGAAGTCACTAGAAGGTGATCAGACGTAAGTATCAGCCACAGGTGATACAAACACTGTTTTGAGTTCATTTTAATTCTAAAGACGAGCTCCACTGACATTTTCTTCATTTCAATCCAAAAGGCTGATGGGAACAGGAAACGTTTAATACTGGGGATAATTATTTGACTGAAAATAGTAACTCAAGCTTCACTTACCAGCTTTTGCCAGGTTTTAAATTGATAGTTGGGGTTATTTGACGTGGGGTTGTGTGAGGTACTTATCTACAGTCAGTGTGTTACCTGCAGTAGATTCAGATCAGCTTCCAGTCTAGAGAAGCAGCAGGAGCTCCGGTACAGAAGCTGAGTGATGAGCTGCTGTGGACACGGTCATCTGCAAAAATGTGTTTTAGCCACTTAAAAAAATGTCCACAGAAAAAAGCTGGAGTGTAGCTTTATTTTGAATATTTTCTGTGCTTTATCTTGTTGTGAAACAGCGCTTTCCCAGAACTACAGTTTGTGAACAGCTGAACTAGTGTATTACTGGGCACACTGTATTACTGCACAGATCAGCTGTTTTGAGTCAGACAGAGCAAAGCGTAGGTGCACTTGTGCGTAGGAATACAGTTGTTTAACAGTTGAGAAAATTTAGTTCTGAAGGAAAGGGCTGTTTGACAGCAAGATAAAGTGCTGGAAATATTCAAAATAAAGCTACACTTCAGCTGATGTTAGTTGAGTGGCTAAAACACATTTTTGCAGATGACCCTGTCCCCAGCAGCTCATCACTCAGCTGCTGCACCGGAGCTCCTGCTGCTTCTCTAAACTGGCAGCTGATCTGAATCTACTGCAGGTAACACACTGACTGTAGATAAGTACCTCACACAACCCCACGTCATATAACCCCAACTATCACTTTAAGCTGTATCATGCCTCACTTGTCACCACCAGCAGTTATGGAACTTTGGTCATGTGATAAGAGGTGGTTGGGGTGGGGATATAATCGGCCTACTGAGCTTGGAAAGCTCCTGAAAAGTTCCCAATGGACCTTGAGTGAACATTTTGTTTGTCTACTGTTGCCAAGGTCAAGATTTAACTTTTACACACTATTAAACATGAAAAGATTTAAATTTTCTGTTAATTCTAATGGGAAGTAGTAACGGGAAAAGATTCTTATGTTGGATTTTGGCCTGAACAATATGTACAAGCCATGAAATTTTATTTAGGAGAACTCCATGATTGTACATGACTCCCACTTCCTCCCCAAAATCCATTTTGGTCAAACTCTTAATTTAAATGCTAACGTTGATACAGTCCATCCTTCTTAAAGCTGTGACCAGTGCTCAGAATTCTCACCAGCCATCAGTTCTACAGAGCTTTTAGTGTTTTAGCTCATTGTTTTGGTTTTTCATCATTAACCTAATTTCCAACAGCAGCTGTTTTCAATAGGAAATCACCTATGAAGTTGATTATAACTTAATCAGGTGATATCATGTCAGAGTGGCTTTACAGCTTGTTCTGCTGCCCCCAAGTGGCCAAAAATAATTCACAAGAATATAGACAGAACAGCACATCAAGAACAAAACAACCAAATACAAAAAATACTGGAGTCCTCTGGAAGTATTTCAATATTCATACGACTATTTAATTGGGTATTCAGTCAGTCTCTGTTGTGTCTCATAATAAACTGACAGTTTTTCCCAGTTCTTTTTAAATGTATATAAAAAGTAACCTAGTCGTCAAAATCAGGACTTTTTGACGTTAATGATATTTACAATCCTTCAAATTGTAATGTACGATCACTCACACATGAGGTGTAGACAGGGTGTAGTTCAGATAGAAACATTTTGGTCAAACTCTAACTGAAAGGTGGATGTACCCAGTCCAGCTGTAACCAGTCGTGTGTTCTCCTCAGGTCATTCCTGGAGAATAATGTGAAGAGTGCTGTAGCTTGAGAGACGCTGCTCGACAGTGGAGGTGAGAGGTCACACATACACATACTGCTGTGACAGTTTTTGGACACACACTCACGTCAGTCGTTCCGTCTTCTGTCGTGTCTCCTCACAGACAACTGACTTGTCGATGTGTATGAAGCGTTCTGCAGTCCTGTAGCCATAACCACTACTGTCCCCTGGCCCCTCTCCTCACTGACTGACCTCCCCACTGACTCTGAGCTCACCTCGGCCCCTCGTACAGAGACACCTAAGGGCTCTCAGCGGGAGTGCGCTCGGAGCACCGCGAAGCTGTTCTGAAGACTAGCAGCGCAGACGGAGGTTGAAGGAAGAGACACCACCTGTGCCTAAAGACCACACACTGTACACGCGTCATCACAGCATGGTCACAGCCATTTAACCCAAAGCTACATGAAGTACATTCCTGACATGTGACCACTGCCACAACTCATCGATGCCAGCGTCGAACCAGCATCTCACATCGGCCACAGACGCCACTTGTCGAAGTCGTTTGACTCACACAGCGACCACGCCTACGTCATCCTGCGAGGCTTCATCACCGCCAGTCTTTGTCCGCTCTGCTGTGCATCTCACTGGCCTTCATCCCCCCACGTGGACGTACAGCTGGAAGGACTGGGAGGGGTGATCTGAATAATGAAGATGAAAATATTTTGTAGCTGAATTTTATGTGATTTGTGCCTGTTTTTATTTGAACTTCAGATTTTCTATGGAGGCCCATTTCTGCCAGGAAAAGGAAAAAAATCAGATGGAAAGTTAGGCATGATTAAAATTATTTATTATTTTCTAAACTCATGGTGAGTCACAATTATGAGATATTAGATAAAAAACAAGACACTCAGGCAAACATCTGAGATATTAAAACCAAATTATGATAAACTAAAAAATTGACTTTGAAATGCCTAAGGAATTATTTTTAAGCGTGAGCAAGTCACACTTATGAGATCCTAAGTTAAAATCAACTTTATTCAAGACAAAATTAATTGATTAATTAATTACTTTTTTTTTTTTTTTACATGGTAAGTCAGTATTTATTTTGTCATAATTTTCAGTAATTGTCAGTTTTTACTTGCTTATGTCAATTTTGATGTAGAATTGCAATTTTTACTTTCGTGATTATCTTTTATTGAATCATATTTTTACCCAAAAGTTAGTTCTACTCGAGATGTAAGTTTTACTTGGTATCTCATAATTTTGTGTCACATGATCTTTTTTACCGGAGTAATAATTTTGATTTAGCATCTCTACCTTTGATCCAGCGTCATAATTTGTTCCCAAATCATAATTTTGGCATCAACAGCTTATTACTTAGTACCTCCATTGTTTTGCCTATTTAAATATCATACTTAATAGTTCACCAAGTTTGACTAGTTAATATCATTTTGAGTCAATTGAAAAGTTACTATCTCATAGTCTTGGCTTTTTTAAGTCAAAACTTTGACTAAGTGAGAGTTTTTATTTTTGACATTCCTTCCATTTCATCTTTTTCTTTTTCCTTTTTTTTTTGGCATAAATTAGCTTCTATGCTTTTCAGATAAACTGTCAAGGGAAGATGTTTTTAATGACGACCCAGAAGAGAAAAAAAATTTACATTGTTTTATGTATGTTGAATCAAACTGTTATTTTTTATTTTATTTTTCAGTCATAATTAACTGAATTAGTAATAGCATTATTGTATTGCACCACTGTATCCTGCTAACACAGGCCTCTCCCCTCCCATCCACTTTTATACCATGATAAGATAACTGGCCATAGGTACTTCTCCACTACTGCGGCGCTCACAATGCTGTACTGTTATTTTGGAGAGGGGGGCAGGTTTCTATGGGGGAGTTCTTTTTCAATTATTTTTATGTAAACCATTTTTTTTTATGCCAGCAATGAATAATGTAATTTAGGAATGTAATTGTAAGCTATTGTAGTGAAATGTTTTTAATATATACAGTATATATGTGCCCACTGTACCTGTGGGCCTGTTGTAACTGGGGTTGGCTGCTATTTAGATCATACAAGGAAATATTTTGGTACTGTGTCTCAGAATGCTGGGTATTTTAGCATCAACCTAGAATATATTTTTGTAGTGACTCGATTAAGAATCCAATTTTTTTTTTTTTTTTTTGATTTGTAACTTCACACTACAGTTTCTTGTGGATAATTATTATTACATGTCTTTTCCCAAGAATGGATGCGTCTCTTTATTTTTCTTAGTACACTCGCACATCTTCACTCTGTAACTGATATTTTTCCACATCATTCATCTACAAAGAAATGTGTATGAATGAGTTAAACATTTAGACTCCCGACCCATCATTTTCATAAGATTATATTCCAAAACTCAGTGTTTCTGTTTTTTATTTTTTTGGGCGGGGGGTTTTCTCTTCCCCTAAAAGCCAGACTATAATCTTGGTCTTTGTGAGCCGCAGCAGCCGGGCCACCTCTGACGAAGTGGATAAAGGAGGGATCAGTTGTCATACATGCACAGCCAAGAGTTCTGATCATCCATTATGGAATGAGGCGCTTTGTCCACTAATTGCCTCGAGCCACGGTGGTGGCTTCACTGCAACCTGAGCTCTGTAAGGACCTGGCCGGAGGCCGGGCCGGCGAACAGACGCAGCTCTCTCAGAGGATGACCCTGCAAGATGAGTCATCGTCATTTGCAACCTGAAGACGTTAAATGAGCTATGAAACGGTGGCTGGGTTCCCGCGACTATTGAGCTTCAATTTGCTTCTCTGGGGTTGCCAACCAAATTTTTATCTCAGGCTACAGCTCAATAAGTTAAGAGCACAGATGATAAGGGCCTGTCCTTCAGGTAACAGCTGTGGAAACTAGAAAAAGATTATAAATTGAGACTGAGCAGTCAGAAAGTAGCAGCAGTAGTAGTGTTGTCTCTGAAAAGAGAAAACAATGTCTGAGTGCTGACTTGAATCTTAATGTGTGCTTACAAAAATGTTCTATCTTTTATTTCAACTCATGAAAAATGGCAGCAAAAACAAGTGTTGCATTTATATTTTTGTTCCGTTAATATACAGTATATAACTGCACAGGATGCTCCACGTTCCTCATTTTAAAGCTTCTGATATTTCCTCTCTAAAACAACACAGAACCTAAAATTACAACTTCATTCTCGACTTTGACTTTTTTTCCTGAAATATTAGGATTTTCTTCTCAAAACTACGACTTATATTCTTGTAATATTAGGATTTTTTTTCTTGTAAAATTATTACTTTATTCTCATTAAGACATTTTCTTGCAAAATTACAACTTCATTCCTGTAATATTATGACTTTTTTCTTGAAATATTATGATTGTATTCTCAAAATGACTTTATTCTCAATGTGGCCCTAATACTCCATTGTAGAAAGACAGCATTTACACCTCATAGTCGTTGCAATGTTTCAAATTCTGACTCTTGGAGTGCGGAGCCAAAACAAGAACAGAGGTGTCTCTGTCCACATACTTATGGCCTGCTCTGATACACTCACTATAGAAATGAGGACAGTGCAGCATTCCAGCACACACTGACAGAATGAGTCTCTCTCCGTCTCTCTCCTCCATCAGCACCTATTGTTGCTCACTCCCAGCAGCACCTCTCACCTTTCCTCCCAGGCATTCACCAGCTGGCCATACGAACAGCGGCACAGCTCCGTGACCTCCCACATAAAGCTGAATTATTCAAATGACACTTTTGTGTTTGTGTGTATGTGCGTGCCGTTGTACACTAACTCACCCTTATCAATGAGTTCAGTGTGTGTATGCATAAAACGCACTAAACGTTTGTTGGGGGGGGGGGTGTGTGTGTGTGTGTTGCATTTGTGGCTTCCTGTATGAAGTAGGTGGGTGGGATATTGGTGTGTAACTGCCCCTCACTTCTCCTCCTTTGAGCATGTGTGCGTGTTTGTATCAGTGACACCAGCTCTTGAGGACAAGCGGCAGCACTTTGCAGCCCCCCCAGCCATGCCCGGGTTCACCTGAGAAGCCTGGTAAGGTATATTACACTGAAATGAGCTCTCACTGCTTTCCCCCCAGGGTGCACAGGCTACACATTTACGCAGATCTAAAGATAGCCTTTCACTGCCGTTAGATTTAGCCTGTAGATAAAAGCTGTTGTTTTTTGCTGCAAAGGGAGAAGGGGAGTCAAGATTAATAGCCACTTTGCATGAATTTTGATTCCTTGCACTTTTTCTTTGTTTGAATAAGTTGATTTATTGTAAAGTTTGTCTTAATGGAGATTCAGTGCAGCTGTTAAACTCAGCCTTGCAAAGACTGTTAGAAAATAAAGTCATTTGTGGCTGAACTAGGTCTGAAATCAGGGACTTAAAGTGTGAAACCTGGTCTAAATGCTGATGGATTGGATAGGACTTGCTTTCATTGAGTTTGACAGACATGTTAGCCAAGCTGCAGCCCTTAATGGCTCATTTTATTGAATGACTAACTTATCTTCCAAAGTGTGTTGTTGATGGATTTAAATTTTCTAATGTTTGATGACTAAAATCTGCACAATGTGATTCCATTTTCTGTGTTTTAAACGACAAAATAAATACAGTTTATATGGTTTTGTTATTCTGTAGGTAATTTAACATCTGACGAATTAACTGTCATGTCACCGGTCAAGTCCCAAGGTAGAACAAGTGCAACAAAGAAGAGGGCAGAGACTGTCAAAAAAGGAAATCAACAGAAAAATGTGAGACAGAATGGTTCCAAGGCGTCTCAGCCTCTCTCTGAAGTACCCAATGGGAAACAAAAGGGAAGAGGTGATGTGAGGAATAATAAAAAGAATGAAGTAAGTGGTATATCACAACTACAACATGAGAAACATAGTAAGGGGGGTGTAAACAAGACCACCAAGCTCAAATGTCCACCTAAAGCGCTCACTACAAAACCAGGGAGAATCAACAACAAGCTCCCCGCCAAGAGAAATGACAAAGAAACAGAGAGTGAGGAAGAGGAGGAATCAGAGAGCACTGCAGGAGGCTCAGATGATGCGACTGAAGAGGAAACTAGTAACGATGAGAAGGAGGAGGACCGGGGCAGTTATGAGACGCAGGGGAGTGCGCAGAGCAGTGAGGAGGAGGCTGAGGCATCCGATACTCAAAGAGATACCCAACAGACCGAGCAAGCAACCGAGGAATCAGACAAAGAGTCTTCAGAGGAATCCAAATCCAGGAGTGACTCTGAGGTTGAACCAGTCGCATCCATTGCAGAAGAAGAGGAAACCGATAAGGAAGTTGAAGAATCTGAGGCTGTCACCAGCGAGGGGGGTGAAGACAATGAGTTAACCCGAGGGGACACATCTGAAAAGCCAACAGCTGACCGTAGAAGACGCAGACTGCCTCAAAGTCCGTCAAAGCCTGCACAGTCGGCGAAATACAAGATGTTTAAAAAAACAAAGGCAGATAAGCAGGCTGAGAAGGAAGAAAAACAGAGGGCCAAATCAGAAAAGAAAAGGTTAGAAAAGGAAGCCAAACAAAAAGCCAAGGAACAAAAAAAGAACAAAAAAAAGCCACAGAAAGAGGACAAACCCGGTTCCGCAACAGAGGAGATTCAATCAGTTAAAGGTCTGTCCCTCAACAAGGCTGACACAGCAAAAGACACGACCCAGTCATCGAACAAAATAAAAAATAGCAACAAGAAAGATGCTCCTGTCGAAGCTGATTCAGAAGAGGGAGAAGAGGAGGATGAACCAACAGTGTCCAAAGCCATCAAAGGCCAAAACCGAATAATGCTTCTTAAAGCCAAAGGTAAAGATCTCAAAGCCATTCTGGAGCCCGAAGAGGAGCGGGATGCTGGAAGTGTCGTGAAAGGGCGGCCACAGAGCATGCTTTTGGGGAAGATCAAGGTGGCATCTCTCCGAGACAAAGGAAATAAGATGTTAGCAAAGCCTGAGGAGGAAACATCAGCAAGTGAGGCCATCGATGGAGGGTCCGGCAAACCCAAGGAAGGTTTGATAGCACGGAGAAAAGGTATGGGAACTCTTCACCGAGTGTCTGGTTGGATTCAGAAGAAAAAACCGAGGGGGTTAAACTTTAGAAAGAAGCTTTCTGCTTGGACTAAAGCCATTGGTGTCTCCCGCTGGCTCTCCCTTCGAGCCATAAAACAGAAACAAGGCACCAGAAAATCCAAAGGAAATATTCTCAAACACAGGATGGCTATGAGAGTTGCCAGTAAAACCAGCCTGGCCAGTAGGAAAAAAGAGAGTTCCTCTGAGGATAAGACAGCTAAAGAGAAAGGCAGCATCCAGGGAAAGGCAGGGGAGGGAGTGGAAGAAGCAGCCCCAGCTGGAGAGAAAGAGGTAGAGGCCAAATATGCTGTGGTACTCCCCAGGATGAGCAAACTGGGCAAGGTAAAGACAGTCACAGCACTGCCGGCAGCTCCTGGACCTTCCACTCCATCAAGTACCACTGAATCACAAGGAGAACCCACTCCCTCAGAGCCCAAACCCCCAAAACCAGGTGCCAGGCTTGTACTCCCTGTCAAACCAGATCTCAGCCTCCTGAAGTCGATCAAGAAGCCCTTGCCAGGAGGGTTAACATCAGGCGGGAATGTGGCAGAGAGGGTCCTTGGGTCCAGTGGTACACCAGAAGGATCACTGAACCCTGAGGACAGAGACAGGAGAGCTCCCCTTAATCAAAATGGAGTCAGTGTGCTACAGGCTGCAAGAGGGAAGCTAGACCCCTCCCAGATCAAGCTGACCAAGATGTCCTTGTCAGGGGGAATGATAGGTGGTGGACTGACTCGGGCCAAAGGACCAGAGCCAGAGAGAGAGCCTGCACCTGGGTCAACCACTCAGGCTTTTCCAAATGGCGAGGGAAATGCAGTGATGTCAGGTGTTTGGTCCTTGTATGAAGAGGAGGCAGACAGGGAAGTAGCCCAGCTGATGGGTGTGGGTGGTATATATACTACCACCCAACCAGAGGTGCACTGGGCTGGGAACCAACGGATGAGTGGAGACCCTCAGGTATGTGTCACATTTTGGTGGCAGTCTCTCTAGTTTTTCATAGCTGTGGCAAAAAATGTGTTAAATTAGGGGGTCGACTTATTCTTTTAAAACCAATCATCTGTCTTTGCTGTGTTTGGTTCAGGACTGGCTGCGTGCTGAGAACTTGTTGCCCCACCAGACAGTGGAGAAGCTAAACAAATGGTCAGTCTATGACAATGGGGGCCAGGTCAGGAGTGTTTCTGCCAACAATGGAAGGGGCCCCTGGGAGTCCGAAGACCCCACCCAGGAGATGTTGGAGAGTCGACTTGTCAGCACACAGGTATCGATACTGTGAGCTCCCTTGGTCTATAAAATAGAA